GAGATGCAGAGTGAAATAAATTGCAGTCCTTCTGTTAAAAAAAAAAAATCTCAACATCAAGGAAGGAATGAAGAAAACAGCTCTGGAGCTGGATGCAAATATGTAGCTGGCAGTAAATCTGTACCTTAGGAAAAGTAATTTGGAATATCCAAATCAAGGGCCAGCTCACCAGAACATCTGGACTAAGAGAGGTGATGAAAAGGCAAAGAATATAGAAACTAAACTCCAATGGACAAGTCCAGAGGATGCTTGTATGTATGAGGGTCTAACATAAATTATCACATAAAGCAACAATAAAAGAAAAAAAAAATTTTTTTTTTTTTTTGAGACAGAGTCTTGCTCTGTCGCCCAGACTGGAGTGCGGTGGCACGATTTCGGCTCACTGCAAGCTCTGCCTCCCGAGTTCAAGTGATTCTTCTGCCTCAGCCTCCCCAGCAGCTGGGACTGACTACAGGCGCCCGCCACCACACCCGGCTAACTTTTTGTATTTTTAGTAGAGACAGGGTTTCACCGTGTTAACCAGGATGGTCTTGATCTCCTGACCTCGTAATCCACCTGCCTCGGCCTCCCAAAGTGCTGGGATTACAGGCGTGAGCCACCGTGCCCGGCCAAGAAAATTATTAATACCACTTTTGTGTCCATAGTTTTAGGAGTTATAACCACAGAACAGTATCTTTTTAACGTTGTTTTAGACATAAACTCAGATGACTAAACCTAAAGCTTCAGTACAGTCATGTGTTGATTAACAATGGGGACACAGTCTGAGAAATGCATCATTGGGCATCCTGGTGCAAACATCAGCATCCTCACACAAACCAAGATGGCAATAGCCCACAACACCCCTAGGCTATATGGGATAGCCTACTGTTCCTAGGCAATAAACTTATACAGCATGTGACTGTACTGAATGCTGTAGGCAACTGTAATACAATGGTAAGAATCTGTGCATCTAAATACAGAAAACGTACAAAAAAATATGGTATTATAATCTTTTGGGACCAACATCATATATGCAGTCTATGGTTGACCAAAAAGTCCTTGTGTGACATATGGCTGTATTGTCTTTGGATTATCTCATCTGATCCCATTCCATTCCAATTCTGGTTAGTATAATATAGCAAGTATTAATGAAAATGATTCAGAAGGAACCAAATATCCAGGCTTTTAATGTGTATTTTTTTGGTATTGAGGGGTTTTGAAAGATAGACAAAAGTTTTACAACTTTTAAAAGAAAGTATTTTTAAAACTTTTATTAGCAAATAATTGCTTAAAAATTGAAGCTTCCCTTTCAAACAGGCTATTGTTAATATAACTGTTCCTCTGCAATGTTTTTGTTGGTGAGAGAGGCAGGCCAAAGAGTGACATGGGGGCAAGGCAGAAGGCCTTGATGCATTTCAATAATTAGGTCTAAACAGTTACCTCTAAGAATTGTTCAAAAGGAACATTTTTAGTTGATAATAATTTTAGTTAAACGCTTGGGAATCTGCTGTCTTTGAGAGGACGAAAAATGAGAAAGTACCCTATACACAGTCATAAGAAAAGGTCTAGAGAGGCCTGCTCAAATGAGGCAGATTTTTTTTTCTCAATCCAACAACAAACCCATATGATAACTGAAAAGAAAATCCTGAAGAAAATGGTTGCACGTTGCTTTGGAAAAAACAATGTCAAATGACAGAAGATTGCAGAAACAAGAAAGCAGAGTAGCAGTTATTGTTTTAATACATATATTCCTGTTTTAAGGCACAATGTAATACGAACCTCGTCCTCACACCACCCTGTGCTCTTCTCCAAACTCACCCAACAGCTTGCATTACCATTAAGAAGGTCAGAGAACAGTTTCTCTCTAATACTCTACAACTTCATCCATAACTCTTGAAAACTTCAGCCTCCCTTCTCAGCAAGGATAAATGAAGCAGAGCAAAAAAGGCCAGTTCATTCCATTAATACACAGACCAAATCCTATTACGACAGATAGATTCCTATCTCTACCCTCACAATCTCTTTCCCTTCCCTCAAATAAACAAGTCCTCAAAGCTATCAGCATTCAGCTCATCTCTAGGATATGAACTACCTTCATATCCTGAGGTTGGATTTGACCAAGACGCCACAGTTTGTGCCAGTTACCACACTGGCGAGCTGTTAAGGATGTTAGGGTTATAGGTGAATACTGGGGCTTTCTTTTTCATCAGCGGCCATTGTGGATTAAGTGTCCCTCTTCAGTGATTTTTTTCTGCTGGTGGGGACCTCCACAAAACTTACCCACCACCCCCTAGCAAGACATTCCAGTCATCAGCTGAGGAATATTCTTCTCAGACATGGGGGAGAATAGGCTGATGTCTTAGGATTCATAATCCATTTTTATATAGCTCCGTGACCTTACTTTTGTCCTGACTGACCTTACTTTTGTCCTTACTTTTGATCTGAGAGGGATCTAAATCCTAGGGCTTACCCTCTCCTAGGCAATGCTCAGTGAGAAATGCAATGAGGTGGCAGACACCTGTCCTTATGCAACACACAAGGAGCATGTGAACCTTTTAATGGATGACAACTTAATACATCTATTAAGCCTTTTCTGAGCTTATCCTCACACGTAAGAGGCACCTGGGAATCTGCAGTAAATACACAGGGGTTTCAATTTGGGCTTTGTTTACAGCAACCAAGTTAAGCAGTGATTGGTGTTTAACCATTTTGAGATTTGGGGATCCCTGAGATTAACTGATAGTATTTTCAAAAATCTACAAACCCATGAAATTTTTACAAAAACACTACTTAATCTCTAGAGGAAAACCAAGGACACAAAATGGTCTCTAAAACCAAGTTACTTTATATATTTAACAAAGTAGTGGGTGGGCATGGCATAACTTGATTTTTTTTTTTTTTTTTTTTTTTTGAGACGGAGTCTCGCTCTGTCGCCCAGGCTGGAGTGCAGTGGCAGGATCTCTGCTCACTGCAAGCTCCGCCTCCCGGGTTCACGCCATTCTCCTGCCTCAGCCTCCCGAGTAGCTGGGACTACAGGCGCCCGCCACCTCGCCCGGCTAGTTTTTTGTATTTTTTTAGTAGAGACGGGGTTTCACCAGGTTAGCCAGGATGGTCTCGATCTCCTGACCTCGTGATCCGCCCGTCTCGGCCTCCCAAAGTGCTGGGATTACAGGCTTGAGCCACCGCGCCCGGCCAACTTGATTTTAAACTGGACATTTGTTTTTTCAAGTAACCTGGTGGTTCTTTAGAATACTGCTTTCCTAGTACCACATTTGTGCAATATTAAATGATTCCTCCAGTACAATCTATCTTATTTGTTCAAATGACACCATCAGCTCTGAAACTATCTGTGAATTTTGCCTCTATTCTCATAGGCATCATATCACTCAGCACTATGTTTTAAAGGAAGAAAGGTAATACTATCTGCTTTCTAACTGATTAATAGTTACAGCTGAGAACAGACCCATACAATCTCACCCTTAAGCGTGTGTCTGGAGAAAGAAGAGGAAAATTAAGCTGTGAGATTAAAGCCAAAAATCAAGAAAAACTTAAAATACTGATTATGAACTGTTATTTGTCTTCTAAAATTAAATAGTGGTATGGTTGCAAAACTCTGAGTATACTAAAAGCCACTGAATTGTACACATTACAAGAGTGAATCTTATGGTATATAAATGAGTGAATTTTATGATACATGAATGATCTCAGTAAGCCTGTTTTTGAGATATTTACAAATAAAAATAACTGAGGAATTCACTCGTCTTATCATCTTTGTAAGCTCAGCATCTAAGATTCCAGTCTCATAGTAGGTGTGTCAACCCAAATGAGAGGACCAAGATGGGAATCTCAATCAAACAAGGTTTATTAGGCCGAGCTTGAGGATGTGCACCCAGAGAGCACAAGTTCCAATAGCTTATAACCTGTGTTTCAAAGCAAGATTACACGAGGCATGGTATTCATACATTTTTTTAAACAGGGGGATACGTGCAGTACAGTGAAGCAATAATTACATTCTTGTCGATTTGATTGGTATTCACTGATGGTACACATAAGGTAAAGTAAGTATGCGGCTGGGTGGGTAGGAGAGAAAGGTTAATAATTGCGTAGGCATCTCAGGGTCTGGCGGAAGGATGATTGATTCCATCCTGCCTTTGTTCTAGATCTGACACACAAGTTTACAACCAGTACCTGTTAGTAAAACATTTAACAAACTCCAGTTACAAATGCACAAAGGGTCAGCCTCAGTAAATAGGCCATGGTTTTATTACCCATATGTCCAAACTGCAGCCATCTTGTCTCACTTTTCTCTTTTCTTCTGACACTATCATCATCATCTATCTGTCTATCTACAATATGTTTTCTTAAGGTCCTTGAAATAGAAAAAAAAAACATTTCAAGATGTTTTTCAAGATTTGAGGGGTTACAGTTAAAACATGCCTATTTATGGGAGGTTCTAACACTGATCTAACTGACATAGCTGCCTTTGCACATATACATTCTTCAGCCAGAACAAATATTTAGAAGAGGCTGTGTCAATCCACTTTTCTTTGTATTTCCACATTTTCTCCCTTTTGATCAAAATTTCTCTTTAGAGAACACAAATGATCATACTTTATGTCCTTCTGTCTTCCCAGGAAGGCATGTCCCACGTTGGAGGGAAAGAGGTGAGATGAGGTTGATGTAGGCCTGAGACAGACACTCCAGGGGTATGTAGTGGAATCTGCTGCTACGCTTACAGGATAATTCTATCTATATTGTGCTACCAAAATGGGGGGGAGGGTGTTAATTTTTTTTTTAAATTAAGACAGGGTTTCACTACATTGCCCAGGCTGGTCCCACACTCCTAGCCTCAAGCAGTCTTTCCACCTTGGCCTCCCAAGTGCTAGTGTGTGGGCCACTGCAACTGGCCTATAATTCTGGTTTTAGCAATAGACTTACGTAGGTTGATTATAAATACCATGAGTAATTTAACTGATAGTAAGAGAAATAGGATAGACACTACGATTATATCAAGGTTTGAGATCCTTCTGTCATTTATAAGTGTGATGATTGGACATTCACACATGTGTGAGATGCACCTCCCTCAACCCTGTTATGACATTGGTACTTTACCCATGAAAAAGGGTTTGAATTGCAGACTGGAAGAAATAGGAAGCCAATTAAACAGATCATTGAGAAGATCGGTAGTTTGTGCCCCTTGTAACCACTTAGCTTGCTTGAAAATTCTTTCCATGCAAGTCTCTACTTCACCTGAGGTGTTGATGTAAGTGAAGCAGGCAGTGTGAGCTACTGCACAGACTCCTTGTCCCAGCTACTCGACAGGCTAAGGTAGGAGGATCACCTGAGCCCAGGGAGGTCAAGGCTGTAGTAAGCCATGATCACACCACCACACTCCAGCCTAGGTGACAGAGCGAGACCCTCCCTCAAAAAAAAAAAAAAAAAAAAAAAAAAGCTCCTTTCAATTTGCCAGCTATTTTGCCAGTTATTTACACTATGTGCCCATCCTTGGGTTGGTGGGTGTGGCCCAATGCCACCTACCAAAATGTATCTATTAACTATTCATTCATGGGTAAGTTGTTTAAAACATGAGTGAGCCATGGATTGGTTTTACTGCAGGTCTTACAAAAGCCTGCATAAGCATGATACATAACAAACAAGACGTGCTGGTACAATTTGCTTTTGCTTTTTCTCCTTTGGACATTCAGTTGCCAGTTATGACAGTAACGGTGGGAAGCCAGGAATGTGCAGGGACAGCGGCCTGGAAAAGATGAGGAATTAAGTTTGTGTTCCAGATAAGTTAGAGAATTTGTCCCTGATTGGCTTCCTGATAGACAGGCCTGGGGGTGGTGGGAAGGGGTGAGACTTAGGGAATATAATTAAGCACAGAATGAAAATATGGCCTGGCTTTAGAAGCTGAATTTGAATTTGGAAAGGGACACTTGGAGAGAACTGGTGCAAGTATATGGTAACATTTGGAGTGTCAGAAAAATCAATCACAGGTGCAACAAGTAGCATGTAATGATACTGAATGGCCCTAGGAAGCTGGTGACAAATCCAGCAATCTGAGAGACTGCCTCTATCTGCCACACTTTGGAAAAGTTTAGCTCATGAACTATTTTTCCATCACCAGCAGAGACCCTGAAAAGTCAAGTATATATATATATTGGTGGCCATCATGTGTATGGAAACATTAACCAGGTTATATATCCTATAATCTGAGTCAAAGCAGACAAGGCCAATAGTCCCCAAAGTAAATATAATACTCTAAGAATGTTTAGACAGGAGATCATACAGGCCTGCTCTGAAGTCTTGGGTCAATTAGCTGTCCATTCAGATGTTGTCAACTTCTCGTCCTGGTTTCAGGGTTGAAGCTGTTTGGTGAATCAGAGACAGGGATCTCTGGTGGGAGTCATGGTCCATTCAGGAAGTTGTGCCTTTTTAAGGTGAGAGATATGGATCCGTGAGTCTACACCCTTTAACTCTGCTGTGCATGGATTACTCAACGGTACCTGGCAAGGGCCCCTCCACCAAGGCTGGAGGGAGTCCTTTATGAGATGTCTTTTCCAACAGACAAAACTTCCAGGTTGGAGGTCATGACCAGAATCTTCATCTCCCAGGAGTACACTGTGGGACGTGTCTTGCACTAAGGTCTGCCTTTTCATGAGTTGGTGAATGAGTCCCTTAAAATAGTGCAAGATGTCCCCATTCAGTAAATTTGGATCAGTCATCTTGATTCCCACGTGCCTGGGTCTTCCAGTTACAATTTCATGAGAAGGGAGTTGATAAAGGGATGGATCAAAGGTTGAACAATACCAAGGGAAGTGCCTTCGGCCAGCAGAGGCGAAAAGCCTCCATAAATTTAGCCAATTTTTTCTATTATTCCATTGGTCCATTGCACCAATCCAGGGACTTAGCCAATTGTGTTATTATTCCATTGCTCCATTCTACCAATCCAGAGGACTAAGGGTGGTAGGCACAATCAAAATACTGAAATATAGGCCAATTTTTTTTTTTTGAGATCAAGTCTCGCTCTGTCACCTAGGGTGGAGTGCAGTGGTGCGATCTTGGCTTACTGCAACCTCCGCCTGCCGGGTTCAAGTGATTCTCCTAACTCAGCCTCCTGAGTGGCTGGGACTACAGGCACGCGCCACGATGACCGGCTAATTTTTGTATTGTTAGGGGAGACAGGATTTCATCATGTTAGCCAGGCTGGTCTTAAACTCCTGGCCTCAGGTGATCCGCCCACCTCAGCCTCACAAAGTGCTGGGATTACAGACGGGAGCCACTGCGCCCAGCCCCAAATTTTACAAATGCTCAATGACCTGGGCAGTAAAATAAGTTCCCCTACTGCTGTGAAGTTCAAAAGGGGACTCCCCACAATGGGGTAATCCTTTCTAATAAGATTTTACCCACTACCATTGACCATCAGCAGGATGGGCAATTGCATTACCCAATGCAAAGACATGCATATCATTACCAATGCATGTTTATATGCTTAAGATGGTGGCAGCTGGATAAAATCAAGCTGCCACATCTCAAAAGGTGTAGGTAGAAAAAGAAAATGACCCTGAGCCCCATAAAGGGGTTTTCCAGGATTGTGTTTTGGGTAGATGGTACACTGTGAATCAATCTTCTGTGCCATGATGACAGTTTCCAATAATATTGTTTATAATAGGATATCATTTTATCTGAATTCCAATGGGTCAAGCTGTAAATGTGTTCCATGAAGGGCATCTGACACCCCACTAGGATGATGGGTTTATCATTAGGTCCATACCATAGTTCAGTTTGGGGGAAAAAGTACCCCCACTTTCATTTCCAGGTAGATCTTTCTTCGGTGGAAGCTAAGTCTTGGATTTCCTTTAGCGTAGACTTAACTGTTTAAGTCTCACAGTCATTCCAAGGATCGGACTGGTGTCTCAAACACAGCTCTCTTAGCTACTGCATCAGCAAATTGACTACCTTGATTCTATGTTGTGTCTAATTCAGAGCGGCCTGGAACCTTTATAATTGCCAAAAGCGAGCTCCAAGACTAGTCCGTTTTTTATGGGTTGCCCTGAGAAGGTTAAATACCCTCTCTCTTTCCATAGCATTCCCAAGTTATGAGCACCACTTGATGCATAGGGGCATAATTTTTGCCACTTTATTCTTTGCTAGTTGACAAGTTTGAGTCACGGGAATCAGTTCAGCCAGTTGGGCTGACTTAGCCTGAAGAAGACCAGCTTCAATGACCATGGCACATCCTGCTTTAAACTTACTACCTTCTCCCCTCAAGTAAGATACATCTGTAAACCATTCTGTCTAGGCATTATCTAGTGGTGATTCTTGTAGGTCTGTCCTTGGGGTAAAAAGTTGGGTATGTCATCAGGATGAAGTCATGAGAGATCTTGTCAGAAGACTGGCCAGGCCTGGTGCAGTGGCTCATGCCTATAATCCTAGCACTTTGTGGTCTGCTAAATTCATATTTGGGAAAAGTAAGTGGGGCACTGTATATCCCTGTGACATCACATTTAAAGTATCCCGTCATTCTCTCTAGGTAAAGGCAAACAAATACTAACTACCTGGATATATAGGGATGCTTAAAAAGGCACTACAGAGATCCACAAGTACCACTCAAGGTGGGCAGATTGCTTGAGCCCATGAGTTCGAGACCAGCCTGGGCAACATGGTAAACCTTGTCTCTACAAAAAATACAAAAATCAGCCAGGTGCAGTGGTGCACACCTGTAGTCCTAGCTACTGGGGAGACTGAGGCAGGCAGATTAACTGAGCCCAGGAGATCGAGGCAGCAGTGAGCTGTGATCATGCCACTGCACTCCAGCCTGGGTGACAAAGCAAGACCCTGTCTAAAAAAAAGAGAGAGAGAGAGAGGCCAGGTTAGAATAATTGCAACAAGAGACGGTAACATTAGAGGATAGTAAAATTAAGACCTAATAGGAAGTCAGTCTATTGAAAGGTAAGTGTTAAGTTATGATGAGAATTCAGAAGTAGCTCAACTGAATGTGGAATGAAGGCAGTAAGGGAGGGGACCCCAAGACTGTCTGTCCAACAATTTTATAGAGAAGGGCTGTAGCTGATATTGCCCTTACACAAGGGGCAGCCCTTGAGTCACTGGATCTAACTGCTGACTATAATAGCCTATAGGTCTTTGCTGGTCACCATGTTTGAGTCAACATACCAAATGTGTTTCCCCATCTTCATGAAGAGAAAGAAAGTTCATAGTTTGGGTGTCTTATTGCTGGGGCATTTATTAATCTTTTTTTTTAAAAAAAAAAAAAACAGACTCCTGCTCTGTCACTCAGGCTGGAAGGCAGTCAGCTCACTGCAACCTCTGCCTCTTTCAAGCGATTCTCCTGCCTCAGCCTCCCACGTAACTGGGACTATGGACGTTTTGCCCCCATATCTAGCTAATTTTTGTATTTTTAGTAAAGACACGGTTTCACCATGTTGCCCGGGCTGGTCTTGAACGCCTGGCCACAACTATTTGCCTGCCTCGGCCTCCCAAAGTGCTGGGATTACAGGCATCAACCACCGCACCTGGCCTACTAATCTTTCTTCAATTTGTTGCACAGCTGGTTGTCCCTCACGAGTCCACATGATGGGACCAGGCCGGTCATTCTTTAAACAGATATAAAAGAGTTGAGTCGCACGATAAAAATTTAGTATCCAGCTTCTACAATAGCAAGCCAACTCCAAGAACCCTCTAAGCTATTTTTTAGTAGTAAGCATCAAAAAAGCTAAGATTCCTTTGATTCTATCAGGATTGATGCTCAATCCTTTGGCTGACATGACATGTCCCACATGTCTGACTTGAGAAAGACAAAATTAAAGTTTACTCTTAGACACCTTGTGCCCTGTAATGGCCAATTGTTGAAGTAAGTACAAGTTTTCTTCTTCAGAGGAAGAAAGTGTGTCAGAGCAAAGGAGGAGGTCATGCACACACTGGATGAGGGATGAGGATCCCCTGAGAGAAGTCCAAGTCTGCTAAATTCGTATTTCAGTATTTGGGAAAAGTAAGAGGCACTGTATATCGCTGTGACATCACAGTCCAAGTATCCCGTCATTCTCTCCAGGTAAAGGCAAACAAATACTGACTACCTGGATGTATAGGGATGCTTTAA